CACCTGTAGGGCCAGTGTTGTGTGTGGAGGATACACCTGTAGGGCCAGTGTTGTGTGTGGAGGGTACACCTGTAGGGCCAGTGTTGTGTGTGGAGGGTACACCTGTAGGGCCAGTGTTGTGTGTGGAGGGTACACCTGTAGTGTTGTGTGTGGAGGTACAGGGCCAGTGTTGTGTGTGGAGGGGGTGTACACTGTATGTTGTGTGTGGAGGACCTGTAGGGCCAGTGTTGTGTGTGGAGGGTACACCTGTAGGGCCAGTGTTGTGTGTGGAGGGTACACCTGTAGGGCCAGTGTTGTGTGTGGAGGGTACACCTGTAGAGTCATCTGGATGTACAATATAAGTTACATTGTTTTAGAACACCAATTAAAAATGCATGCATATACAAATTGTCACTTATATTGAAAATTAATAAAACTAAGAACGATTTATGTTGCATTTGTGGATTTAGAAGTCCCTGTACTCCTCTCTCTCTCTCTCTCTCTCTCTCTACACACACACACACACACACACACACACACACACACACACATACACACACACTATACATATGTAACTAGCTAGGGAAAACACACACAACATTTTTCATAGTATTCACATTTCAAGCTTGCCGTCGGTGGCAGGATAGTATAATAGTTTGGGTCCGAACACCAATCAATTTGGGGATCAATTAGTGATATTGGTACGTGGGCTAATTGTTCTGCTTTTACAGGGAAACATTTGTGTAGCGTTGTATATCTGCCACGGAATGACCTACTTGTGCATCTGCCTGCCAATGCCGTGAGTGCGTGCATGTGTGTAGACGTAGGTGTGTGCATGTGTGTAGACGAGAGTGTGTGCATATGTGTAGACGTAGGTGTGTGCATGTGTGTAGACGAGAGTGTGTGCATGTGTGTAGACCAGAGTGTGTGCATGTATGTAGACGTGAGTGTGTGTATGTCTGTAAACGTGAGTGTGTGTATGTGTGTGTAGACGTGAGAGTGTGTATGTTTGTAGACATGAGTGAGTAAGTGTGTGTAGACGTGAGTGTGTTATGTGTGTAAAGGAGAGTGTGCATATGTGTGGACCTGAGTGTGTACATGTGTGTAAAGAGATACATATTGTATAAATCACATTCTGTTTAATACATTATAAAAGGTAATAATGGAATTCCCCAACAGACATCTCCCCTCTCCCACCAAACATTCCCCCACCAAACATTCCCCCACCAAACATTCCTCCACCAAACATTCCCCCACCAAACATTCCCCCACCAAACATTCCCCCACCAAACATTCCCCCAAAGAATTGACAGGTTTGGTTACATATCGTAGTCAGACACAACACAGGCAAGCAATAATGAGATAGGGATTCATCGTGTATGTGGGAAGTTCGTCAGTTAAAACCTTTTCCGCTGTTTTAGAAAAATATATATTTACATCAATGAATATTAACATAAAAAAAGAGAACAATCATTGTGAAAATTGTCGATTGTCTCTATTTTTAGTTACTCTGGCGTAACACTGTTCCCACAATTACTGATCACAGCATAAAGTTTGTATTCACTGGACATCAACTTTAGTACAACTCTTTTTTAACAACGAACAATATAATTTTAGAATAGTTTTATAACTGTAATTTGGACTCATCAGGGACATAAGCTTTTATTTCCCAACATTTTTAATATTAATTTGTATTTGCACTTTTCAGGAAGAGTTCATCAGGATATGCTCTACTCTCAGTATTACTGAGCGTGAAAAAAAAAATTTTAATTGCTGAAGTGAATTGATTCAAGTGAAAACATAACAGATTTTTCATAAAACTCCGCGTGAGCTCATTTTGTGAAGTCGACCAACAGCGAGATATTTGGCACCCCACAGCGTGAAGGTCTGGCACCCCACAGCGTGAAGGTCTGGCACCCCACAGCGTGAAAGTCTGGCACCCAGTAGCAGGAGATCTGGCACCCCCGCAGAGGAAGTACCTGGCAAGAATCCCTGCCTCCCCCCCAGGTATAATAATGGTTGCCCCTCATGTAACGAGGATGGCCGGCCCAAGGGCCACCTAGGCGTGAATTTGTTTAAGCTTTATGTTGAATTCCCTTTACGATTCACTTGCCGTGGCGCGAGGCAAGGACTCGTCAGAGGTGGACCTGTACCGGAGGTCCTGGGTCCGAGTAGTTTCTGGTGCAGACTTCTGTTTTTATGTCATAATTTCTTCAAGGAACATGTTTGTTTGTTACGCCAGGTAAATGAAAATTGAGCTGGCGTGATAAAAAGTGACCCTCGATGATATGGTCTAAATTTTAACACTGTTTTTAAGTTTAAGGGTCTAGCCGTTTTGTATACAGAGAGTGGTTAGCCCAGACTACCATTGTTTGGGCTTAAGGACCCCAAGTAGTGTCTTTTATGTTACTAGACAAGAGACGTCGTGAAATATACGTTCAAACACTTGAATACAAAACACATACAGGTGAACCTTCAGCGTAACCCCCTCGGGCCTAACGTAACGTCACGGTTCACAAACAGTATGGTATGGTAAAGCTTTATTTACTCCTTGTTATTTTGATATATGTGTCTAGAAATAATAAATAATGTTATATATTTTTATTATTTATATATTAAAAACTAAACAAACTAATTATGTCCTTCGCTCATTTGTCTCTGCTTACTCAGGCTCTCATATGTACGCAGTCTCCAAACTCTACTAATATTTACGTGGTACTTATTTCACCCGACACCGGTCCGCCATCCCTGGAATGGCCGTGTTTGCTCAGTTCTGTGTACTCCCTCCACTATGTGGTCATATATCATGACTCGGGGTGAAGGAGGTGTCCGGTGCTGGCCACACTTTTGCCCCGCCACAGCTACTGTGCCAGCGAGGGAGGGAGGGAGTAGTATGTTTGATCAACAAAGCTTGAGAGTCGGTATAGTGCACTTATCCTGTGATGGCCAAAGAAAGTGTACCTTTTAGGAACATGTATTCACCAAGACTATCATTTTACTGCTACCTCTACTATCTTGACTACCACTGTCATAGCTGTCTGTACCTCAATTATCTTATTAGTTTTTTACACAGTATCTCTTAATTATGTCAGTCTCTCCCTTATCTTCTCTCTCTCTCATTTTTTCTCGGTCACGTCGGCAGAAAACCGTGTCTCTCTCTCTCCCCCTCCCCTCTTAACACAACCACCTTCATCTTGTCAAATTGCAGTTGCTTCCGTCCGGCAGCTCCTCTGACGATCTTTATTTCCCACTTTGTCAACTCCCACGCTTCCGCAGCCTTGCATGCCTCAAGGGGTTGCCTGGGCTGGCTGCTCTCCGCTCTACTTTATGATGGCCGTCGTGGCTACCTCGTCTTCCCTTAGAGAGAGCAACTCCCCGCCGTCACTGTTACTCCTTGCTACTGCCTCGACCACTGTGAGAGACATGTCACACACGAGTCACGACACGTTCTTCTTTGTCTTCTTCTACCATTCTTTTAGTCTTTCATACTTTTCCATAGTTCTAGGGAGAATTTTGTTTTATCTTCACTACAGTTGTTGTTCTTTACCAAGGCTATATGAACCTACTTGCATGCCACATCTCCGTTGTTCAACGTACATCAGATACATCAAATCTCACTTGGCCATTTTCCTCAGGGTAACAAAGAGGATTATTGTGTTGGCAAAGATCGCAAAACACATAAATTCTCTCTGTGGTTCCCAAGTGATGATATGTCTTTTGGTTTCTTTGTCTACAGTGTTCCTACTTCCAGAGCCAGGCCCAGCTTTATAATGTACCCATGCATAAATTTTCTTTAAACTGCCTCTATTATGAGCTTTAGGTAAATAGATCTGTTACAGTGTTTTGATATATTTTATATATATTTCTAAGGTAACCCTATTTCGTCTACTTCCCATTAGGTTAGGGTTGGTTTGGTTAGGTTAGGTTAGGTTAGCATTAACTGACAGTTAACTTCTGGGAATATGTGACTTTTCAGAGTAGACGTAATGGGAGTAGACAAAGTGGGCATAATGTAAACCCTTTTTTAATTACTGAACCCAAATATATATGACCTCTCGTGTTCCAGCAGCACCGCTAACCCTACATATGGTCTTTCATGTATGCTTCGGGAGTCACTTGATTGACAAATATTCATGTAACATAAGTGATACAAATATGGTATATAATAACTAGGTGGGGAGAAGGTCATACTACAGGACATTTCAACGTAGTGACAGTGTAAAAACTAAGATGGATTTGGAGTGAACACTGGCTGACTAAGAGTTCTTGATAATTTTTACAATGGTTGGGACTGGGCTGTTCTTATAGCAATCGGTACGTGCTCGTATGGGCTGGATGCGGTTGTAGTATGCTAATCCTACTACATTTGGTAACCGAACATTTATTAATTACGTCGAAATGAATACACATTGCATTACTTTTTTGAGATACTGTACATAGCCCTAAGACGATATGCATTGCCTTAAAATTATTAAACCTGTCCCTGGGTGATTTTGATTGCCCAAGGAAATGATCAGTATTTCAAGATGATGTACATTTCGCCAAGAAACGTACGTTGTTTCAGAACAGAGTATATTGGTTCTGAAACACGTACAGTACTCCAAGAAAATGTTCAGTGTTCCAGAACAAGGTATCAGTATTATTATTATTGTAATTGTCATTATTATTATTATTATTATTATTATTATTATTATTATTATTATTATTATTATTATTATTATTATTATTATTATTATAATTATTATTATTATTATTATTGTCGTTGTCATTATCATTATTATTATTATTATTATTATTATTATTATTATTATTATTATTATTATTATTATTATTATTATTATTATTATTATTATTATTATTATTATTATTATTATTATTATTATTATTATTATTATTATTATTATCATTATCATTATCATTTCATTATTATTATTATTATTATTTTTATTACTTTATTTTTTTATTTTTTTTATTAATTGCATAGACATCCTTTGGTTTCTAAAGGGTAATAACACCAATTCTACTACATTTATCTTTATTCAAGAGCAGACAAGTACTGGATAATGAAGAGAGAAAGACATACAAAAGGAGAGAGAGAGAGAGAGAGAGAGAGAGAGAGAGAGAGAGAGAGAAAACAACAATCAAAAGAGGTTGGCTGGTTGGCAGGCTAGATAGAGTCAGTCAGTCAGTCAGCAACACCATAACAACACCTTGCTCCCTCAGTGCTGATGAAGGATCCTCTACACACCACACATACCCTACCACTGTACAGTAAACCTCGTCACCGCGGAAACTAGTGACGAGCTTCCCTCACTCCCACCCACCCCCCCCTTTTTTTACGCCAAGTTTCCTCTCTAGAAGGAAATGACATATTTCTCCCACGAAAATATTATTTCCTGAACACAAATATCCACATCATTGTCAAGGGGAGATTCTGTGTCCTTTGTCTTTTCTGATATAAAATATTGATGAGACTCACCTTCTTGTTTCTTTCTGAATAGCTAAAAATAAGTCTTTGTAAGGGTGTATCCATCAATGGTCTCTCACAGCAGGAGGATTATATGTCATCGTGATTCTCGCTACTGCACATAGTTATCAGAAAGTTTTTTTTTTTTATTAACATTTACAAATAATTATAAAATGTTTGTTTGTTGTTGTAAGATTTGTGCCGATGCTGTCCTCAGATAGTAATGCAGCTGTTGGCCTGGAGATCTGTGCAGCTGTTGGCTTGGAGATCTGTGAAGCTGTTGGCCTGGAGATCTGTGAAGCTGTTGGTCCTGGAGATCTGTGAAGCTGTTGGCTTGGAGATCTGTGCAGCTGTTGACTTGTATGTTGGTGCACTTGCTGACCCAGGAGATCGGTGCATCTGCTGACCCTGTAGATTGCAGCAACTGCTGACTTTGTAAACCGGTGCAGCTCCTGGCCATGGTAACTGTTGCAGCTGCTGTTTCTGGTGATTACTGCAGCTGCATTTCCGTGATGTTTCAGCTGCAGGCCATGGCTGCTGGTGATGATCTACTTATCTGAGATGATCTGAGCCAAAATGTAAGAAAGGGTAAAGAGAGCCAACATTATAAGGGAACACGGTGTTAATAACCTTCTGAAATAATATTTTTTTTACCTTGCCGGAATGCATATCACAGGTCCACTTTACGCCTTCATCCGAGAGTTGAAGCAAAGTATCTCAGTCACACAAAGTTTATATATTTTGAATTTAAAAAAATCGTCAACATATCAGTGAATCTATAGGGTATGATTTGCTAAGGAAGATCGAGTTGCAAGTAAACTTTAAATGACGTTGTAGTGCTGGTTTAGCCTCGCTGGTTCATTTATCTCTGACACATTCATACTGTCTATATTTCAGTGTAATATCTGTATATTGAAATAGTCATTTTCCGTGTTACAGGTGAAGCCTTCAAGATCTGTACTACGGAACGTTACGGTGTGCCAACACGAATTAGTATTGTAGAACTCTATATTAAATACGTCTCTGTTGTTGAGAGTCAGAGTGCATTCAAAAGGGAATTCAACACAGAGATGTTCCGAGTCATAACACCATTCTCTCCTTCATCAAAATATTTTATGTAGAAGGTAGCGACTGTTCATCTGAGCACGTGAGACGTCGTACAGTGAGAACACAAGAGACAAACACTGCCGTAGCTGCAGGAATTGACCGAAGGAGTGGATCTGTCGCCCCACAGCAGAAAGTGGTGTTGGCACACAAGTCTCGGGCGTGTACACCTCCAGAACCTTCCATGGTCATACAAGTTCCGTGTTGGCACATCATAATGTCCCATAGTTCAGAACTTCAGGGCTTCACCTGTAACGCGGAATAATAGTTATTTTAATATATCTCATAAATGTATATACTCAGGGTACGAGACTCACCTGAATCCTGACTGTTTAAGTCTGAGGACCCGACAGCTCTGACGACTCGGGAACTACACCGAACTCTCCCGCTGACTGGAGTTGATGTCTTCAGCCCTCCCGAGAGGACTGGCCAGCGGGCCGATGGGGAGGGGAGACTCATGGTCGGGGTTGAGGGCCACGGTGGACGCCGACCCGCGTCGTGTAGATGAGAAGGAAGGAGTTACCCGCTCTAAAGACAAAAGGTCGTTCCTGCCCAGGCTAAGACGGTGGTGGGCGTAGGAACGTGAAGGAAGACCCTGAGCATATGATGAGGAGGAGCCCATATCGCGGGAGTAGGACTTGGGAAGTGTTGTAGTAGAGAGGTGATGAGCGTAAGAGAGTGGTAGGAGGGACTGTCCCCGGGGGAAGGAGGGGGGGGTAGGGGTGTAAGACATGTCACGGGGGTAGGTCAGGGGCGCCTGCATGGACGACATATCGTGTGGGTATGACGGGGAGGTGGGTGTGGAAGACATGTCGTGGGGGTAGGTTGGGAGGGCATGACTTGAAGCTAGGTCGTGGGGGTAGGTGGTGGGTTGCATGATGCAGCCCGTGGGCGTGGAAGCCACCAGCGAGCGGCCCAGCAGCAGCAGTGGGTCGCCCTCCCTCGTGGGCAATGAGGCCTGCAACATAAACTCGGGGTCAGAGTCACAAACATGTAGTCAGCAACATAAACTCTTGGTGAGCAGCACAAAGACACGATCACCATTGCAAACACAATTATGTGGTCAGCAACACAAACATCATATTGGAAGCGTATACATATGATCAACAACACAAACACCTGTCATCAACGCAGATATTAGTTATATGCAATACAAACAGTTATGAACTTTTTTACACAGTCGCACGTGTACTCGGATCTCTGCTTAGCTATGCATTAATTGTGGGACGTTACACAGCTGTACGTTCACTGGGGGACGTTACACAGCTGTACGTTCATTGGGGGACGTTACACAGCCGTACGTTCACTTGGGGACGTTACACAGCTGTACGTTCATTGGGGGACGTTACACAGCCGTACGTTCACTGGGGGACGTTACACAGCCATACGTTCACTTGGGGAAGTTACACAGCTGTACGTTCACTGGGGTACGTTACACAGCCGTACGTTCACTGGGGGACGTTACACAGCCATACGTTCACTGGGGTACGTTACACAGCTGTACGTTCACTTGGGGACGTTACACAGCCATACGTTCACTGGGGTACGTTACACAGCCGTACGTTCATTGGGGGACGTTACACAGCCATACGTTCACTTGGGGACGTTACACAGCTATACGATCACTGGGGGACGTTCCAAAACCGTACGTTCACTGGGGGTATTCTACACAGACGTGAACGCACTATTGATTATCGGGAGCTGTGGAGGGAGGGGAAAGACACAGAGCCCCCCTTAAGGAATCTCACAGAAATTATTTGCCCGATAACAGTCGTCGTGGTGACGGATATTACGGTGCGGCCTTCTCGCTCTCAAAGGCTCATAGGCTATTTTTTCCCCAAACTGGAAGTGTGAGAACGCATCTAAAAGTCTTTTTTTAAAAATTGCAATATAAAGTTTATTTTCTCTAGGGTCCAAACGGTATACATTACTTCCTAAGCAAATATGAGAGAACGTATTTTACTACATTACTTAAGTTGCAACACAAAGGTGAATTCTTAAAGGATCGTAACATAAATTTGTTCTTTGTTTGGTGAACCGAGAACACATGTAACTGGTCCATTTCCATTACGGCACAAAAATGACTCTACAACTGCCTTGGGACAATAACGTAGGTGTATGAGTTATCTTATCAGCAGTTAATGTAAACATCTTACTATATGTATCTAAAGTGACGTGAAGTAGTCAGTATGTCAATGTGGCCTTCTTTAGTAGCCATATAGATGTCGTTTCCGGGTTGTATAGTGGTCAGTATCTCTTCTCCGGGTGTGTAATGGTCAGTGTGTCTAGTGCCTCGTGTAATGGTCATTAACTGTGACAATTCAGGTGCAAAACGAGAGTTCCTTAAACATCTTTATATCAAAATGAAAACCGGGGAAGTTAAACTAACAATATCCACAGATAATGACTGAAGTAACATTGATGAAACAGTAGATATTTACACTTACATGTTCATTCCCCTTCACTTTAATACGTCCTTCACCACCATTCTTCCATCTCCTTCTTGGTCTTTCCCTCTCCCTCTCCCTCTACCATCAACTACGTCGAGTATATACATTCTCAACCCATCTTCCACTTCCCATTCTCTTAGTATTTACACACCACCTTAACAAACTCTTATTATCTCTTTGTCCAACATTATTATTTATTTATTTTTCACTCCCTCATCTCCATATTTCTGTATTTAATAACCTGTTCATTCTATTCATCCCATAAATGTCTCTAAACCACATTTATTATTATTATTATCATTATTTTTATTATTATTATTATTGTTTTATTATTATTATTATTATTATTATTATTATTATTATTATTATTATTATTATTATTATTATTATTATTATTATTATTATTATTATTATTATTATTATTATTATTATTATTATTATTATTATTATTATTCTTGGTTTTGATTTACTTCCTCTGATCTTTGTATTATGTAGTTGCTATAGCAGACATCTTACCCTAACCTAACCTTCCACCGTTTGTTAATTTAACCCCGGGCCTCCTGTTCATTACAAGGGGTGGACCTGATGCATACATACACCTTGTTATAAAGCTCAACTATCTAGGGAGTCTTTGTTGGTCTGCTGTCATCCATTTTCTATCTGCCTATATGTATATCTATCTACAGTATCTATCTATCTATTCATCCATTCATCCATCGTTCCATCTATCTATCTATCTATCTATCTATCTATCTATCTATCTATCTATCTATCTATCTACACACACACACACACACTCTGCTATTCACCCACATGTCATAATATTTAACACTTCATTCACTCTCCACACCTGTGTCCTCATTAACCTGGTAAGGTGAGATTGTCAAGACTATTTCACCGTAGCCCCTGCAACTCTCTCTCCCTTTTATATCTCCCCTAATGACCCTATTTCCACTTACTTTACTTTTTTTTTATTTCACTTTCAAGAGCAACAGCTGCGTATGAGAGCCAACGATGTAAAGTCGTTTCTGAAGATCAATCAATCGTCAGTTTAATGTTCCAGTGTAACCTGTTTTAGTCCCTCCACCCCCATCCCCTCTGACTCCCTACATGACTATCCCCTCCTCCCCACATTACTATCGCTTGCCACCCCACACCACTATCCCCGCCTCCCCACACCACTGTCCCCCCCCCACACCACTATCCTCCTACCCACACCACTATCCTCTCCCCACACCCCCCCCCCACACACTATCCCTCCTACCCACACACCAACATCCCCGCCTCCCCACACCACTATCCTCGCCTCCCTACTACCCCTGACAAATGGCCTCACAGTTCACTCCTCCCCACCCCTCCCTTCACTTCACATCACCTGACATCCCCCAGCTGTGTATTGAACAGAACAACAGTGATCCAGGTGTTTCTGAACAGTGAACAACCAACACAGTTTTGCTCTAGTAACACACATACTTCCCTTTAGTCGTCTGTTTTTATCACTTGTGTATTTTCCCATGACCTCAGTCTGCCTCAAGATCTTTACTCACCCTACAGATTCACCATAACCCTTGAGTGCATACCCTTACACACACACACACACTCAATCCGACCTATAAAACTCGCCCACACTCTGTAACAGTATTGAGTGTATCTCCGTATCCACTTAGTTCGCCTCATAACACCCGCTTGATACACTCCATCACTGCTGAGTGTGTGTAGGAACATACACATTCGTCCATACTCTCCATCACTGTTGAGTTTATCTTCGTATACACTCAGTCTGCACCATTACACAAACCCGCACTATCCATCACTGTTGACTGTATCTGCACCGTACACACTCATCTGACGCCATAACACTCGACCACACACTGCATCACTGTTGAGTGTATCTCCACCGTACACACTCGTCTGACGCCATAAAAGTCACACTCATTCCTCATCACATACTTTCACACTCATACACACACACACACACACACACACACACACACACACACACACTGTTCCTCTCAACTTTACCTCTTACGGGAAAAGATCTTCTCAAACCAAACACCATTGTAGAAGTTGTATGATATTTTACACATCAACAGCGGCCAGAGTATTGTGTTTTTCCATTAGGACCCGACCATATATTGTGTGGTATTATTCAACAGATACATTCATATTGTCTCCTTGTGATTCTTGTAACCCAACACACACATACACACACACACACGTCAGTTGAAGGTCCCCTCTCATTCATATGTCAATTGTCTCTCAGGCTGAACTTTCACGGTATATCTAACGCAAGGAAATTATATTATATACGTTACATAACAGCCTTAACTACGCCTCTTGCCACTGTTGTTGACTTTTGATTTTCATTGCATATTCTATAATTTTTTTTGTTTGCTATACTATTTATGTTTGAGCTTCTTATGTAATTTTGTTATTTTATTTCAGTCTTCCTTCACTTTCCCTTTTCTTTTTATCTCTCTCTTCTTCTTCTTCTTCTTCTTCTTCTTCTTCTTCTTCTTTTTCCATCCTCTCCTTTCTTCTCCTTCTCTTCCTCCCTCTTTAAACTCTTGCTCGTCTTCCCCCTCCCTTACTTCTCTTTTCAACCTGTTCCTTTCATGTCCATCTCTTCTCGTTTTCCTCCCTTCCCTTTACCTCTTCTTTCTTTCTGCTTTTTCCTCCCCTCCAACTCCTCTTGACCAGCCACTCTGCCGTCATCTCCCAAATGATCACTCTTTCCCTCTCTTACTCCTGCCTGTCACGTTCTAAGCACCTCCTCCACCTGCAGCTTGCCTCCTCACGACTCAACTTTTGTATAGAATAACTTGATAAGATCCAGACTACTTGATCCGTGGAGCGAGACCCTAGAGAAAAATATTTTGCGGAACAGCTGCTGAACCTTTATTGTTGTCGAGGTTTTAAGAGGTGAGTTCTTACTTAAGCTGGTCATATCTTCTACCTTGGTCCTTGTGTGCCTATAGTGCCAGTAAGTGCCACATCCGGCCAGAACTATAGTAGATGGTTTTTGATGTCATAAGCAAAGGAGTCAACTTTTATGGTCATGGATGTGTGTTATATATTTTTACCGATCTATTGTCTGTGTTTGTCGTCCTTTTCGCTTTAAGTAACGGAGTGAATCATCCAAACAAAACTTGTATTTAATCGTGGGTCTTACTACTGACCGGTCTGTCTTTTCAAAGGATATTAGCATGACCCTTGGGGGTTATATCCTAATGTTATGTACTTTAGTTAATAATGTAATCAGAGCGCAGAGGAACAGAACGCTTAGAAGTAATGAAGACTGGAAGTAGAAATCTGATGAAACACACAACTATTATCGCAAAAAATCGTCTACTACTGAGCAATTTTTATTATAAAAATATTAAATTGGCTTTGTATATAAGTTGAGAGAAGAAAGCCTCCCACCTCACCTGTTTGGAAAGTCTCATAAAATGACTCCGTACTAAATGTAAACAGAGACTAGAACACTTGATAGAGCTGTTCACTCACTTTTTCACGGTTCACTAGTGGCTAAAGTAGGTGATTCCCCCCAGGTGACGCTGGTGGACTGAAGGTCAGCACACTGAAGCCAAATATGTGAATGTTAAGGAAGAAGTGATGTTCTGATTGGTTAATTACACGATATGTCAGAGGGGGATATTTTTACCTCTGTACAGGACGAGTAAATGGTGAAGGATGGTCTGAGAGCCAGCCAGTGGTAACTTTTCTCTACCACCCATTCATGTCTCCTGACCTGAATCCAGTTAGAACTTCTGGCTTAGGACTGAGAGTCTCGGAACATATTAATTGAACATAATCAATCATTCAAATATATGTGTGACCACTCGCCTCGTCAACGCCTTATACAACGTTCTGTGGATCTCATATCAGGGAAGGTGAACACCACAACTGGAACAGGTGGACGCTACACCGAGTACTAAAGTAAAATATATATTTTCTTTATGATAAATGAATAACTTAGGTTTCATAAACACCACCACTCTACCATATCTTCAATCACAGAAGTAGTTCTCTTTATACCAATTACTGTTATTATACCGTTAGCATAAAACTTGAACAACAGTAGTGGAAGGTGTCTCTGAATGCTGGCCCCTACCGAGGACAATCACTGCCCTGCCCGCTGGTGTGTTACCCGACAAGATGTTACCTTAACAATACACATAACAGTATTGTAAGTTTTGATTCATGAAACACTCCAGAAATGGGGAAACTCCAGTAGAATGTCGCAAGTTGATCAAATAATGAGAATGTCACCAATGAACACAACAGCACTAGACGGCCCTATATGATGTGGTTGCCTATTCTTAATTACCATCATGAGCAATATATATTCTTCCCTTTGACTTGATGTTTCCAAGAGGACAACCAACTTTAAGAAGAAGTGAAGAAAATGTCTAAATGTACCAATGTTTTTATCTGCATGATCAGTTGGTAGCCCTGCTGAGGTGTGTATTCTGCTGGACTCCTGTTGCTCCCCCACACTCCCACACACGTTTACACTCCCACACTTCTACTCCCCCCATATTTCTACTCCCCTACACTTCTACTTCCCACACTTCTAATCCCCACACTCCCACATTCCCACAATGCTTCAACACGCCCACACTACCATACTCCCACACTTCCACACTTCTGCACTCACACACTCCCACGTACAAACAATTAGAGAAAAAAAACGATAAAATTTCAAGAAAACACGAAATACCTGATGACATTCAAACAGTCATTACTACATTATGGTACAGGTAATTATCGTGCGGCTGGCAAGGACGGAATGCCATAGCGGTGTGCAGGTGAACCGTGTCTATCTGTTGTCCGAGTTAATCAATTATTCAGTTTTCATCGTCGCGTTTGACTAGCCATTTTGTTGTCCTAACCTGGCTATGGGACTGTATTGATGGCTCTGGGTTAAAAGTACAGAGTATTTTTTTCTTATTTATTACTACTACTACTACCTCTATTTCTACTACTACTACTACTACTACTACTACTACTACTACTACTACTACTACTACTACTACTACTACTACTACTTTTACTCCTTTTTTTCTTTTTTAAAACGTGACCTCCAGCCTCCCCCAATAGCCACACCTAAGCCGCCATTTTAATATCTTAAAATTAAATATCCTAATACAAAAGTAGCTACCCTAGCTGTGTTGAGTTAGTTAAGTCGCAGATCTATGCGGCATTCATTGACTGTTTCCTCAAAATCAATATCTGAGACCGTTGTCAGCTTTGGGGCCGAAGATCTCGTTCCCCTGAGGCAAAGCAATGCAGCCTTTAGCAGAGAGAAGGACAGTTCAACATCTCAACCAGGCTGCAAAGAAACTTCGGGGCTGCTGCTTCTGCTTGGATAACCCCTTAGCCAGTCTTACATAGAAACATCATGCACTTGGTCCCATCCGCCAGAGGTTGTGAACACCAGGGGAGTGAAGCTGCCTTGATGAACATTCTGAATTCTCTCCCCATAACCTCTGTTCTTGTCATTCTCGTCCTCTTGTATGCAGCATCGAGAGATAGATGAAGGTGACATGCGGCCATGGGGTCGAATATCCTGACGTCAAAGAAGGCTCGCTGTCCACGTGTCCAGATTCCTCGAGCTTCGTTGGATGTGTTGGAAGTCTTGTGATGGAGATTCTCACCGCTCAGTGAAAGGAGGGTCGGTTCCACCTTGACGTCGTGACAGATTTCCTTCATCATATTTCCTGTGAGATTTCTTACTTCGTCATGCTTCATGCATACGAAGCCCCCCTTCTTGCACACTATGGCGTGGTCAATATCGTAGGATAAGCCACACAAGCATTGGGAGGGCAAACCTTTTACTAGCCAACCATACCTAAGAGCAATGGCATTTGGAAATTTTTATTTATTAAGGCCTTTTGCCCCTATCGAAGTCCGTCATATGAACGTAACGTTAAGGAGGCTTGTGACAGCTGGCCTTCTTATTGGCGTTATAAAGCATTACTGCGCCTGAACAGCTATAAGGTCTTTAACTCTCGCTGTTAGACCACTCAAGACAGACATAGAGTCCTTTTTAGAGACTAAATTGACGACGCTCTTATTCCTGACGACTTTATCTAAAAAAAAAACATCCTAAATTTATCATCCAAGAACTATACGATTGAATTAACCTGAGCGATAATAAACAGGATAATAAACAATGGTGTCCAGGGTGCCGACATTACCATACATCTTGGTTTGTGTTTCAATTTGCTTCGATCGTTTTTTTTTATCAGCTGTCGAACCAATATCTGATTATACTTGGAACTATAGAGTAGTTTGAAATTTGCATGTATTTAACCCCTTGTGTACGGGATTCCTTCTCTTTTAGTCAAATAAAATATTAAAAAGTGGCGTCCCTGTAGTGATGGTAGTTATGGAAGGCTCAAAGATATAATAACTGCTAATGTTGTAAGTAAAATGAATTATTGTGTTATTCCATTAGTTAAAGTCTGCAATATATAAAACTGAAGTAGCAAAGTTTGCCCCCAAAATTTAATTTGATTTATATTAATTGGCAAATTCCACTGACGGAGCCGACCAAAGAAATTTCTGCTTTTGTTGCAACGGTTGTGTTATACATCACTATTAGTTTATTTCTTTTATGATAGAAATTGTCACAGCACCATTTTAAATATTCAATGACCATTTTCTTTTATTCATGAAGTGAATCCTTATGAACTGGGATGATCACATTGTACAGCCATGGAGAAAAGTTGTCAGTCCTCCGCCCCAACCATGACTCCTGAGACTCGTGTGTGTACCTGTGAATGAGAGACATCACACAGTGTTGGTCTTATATATACCTGTATGTGCAGGGAGAGCCAACCTAGTCATGGCAGTCATCTGTGGGCGCAGGATGGTTATCACACTGGGCTGGCAATCCATTAGTTCCAGTCCAGATTCAAATCCTCACTAAGTCATTATTCGAAGTACAGTTGAGCCATATTATCCCTTCCCTGGCTTGAGGAATATATATATATATATATATATATATATATATATATATATATATATATATATATATATATATATATATATATATATATATATATATATATATATATATATATATATATATATATATATATATATATATATATATATATATATAATGTGTGTGTGTTCTATCTCAACCTGCCTGTAATATCTGAGGCCAGACCCACGTGACACACACTGGTTAATTCGTTCATTCCACAGTGTACCGGACACGTCTAGAGTGATTATGTTCACATTGTCAGGACACAGTCATAATATAACCAACTCTCTCAGTTCATCACATACTAAAGAAAAACAGCTGAAGGACAAAGCTTTAAAATCTGGCCAACTGTGTGTGATGATGTGGGGATAAAATGATAATGCTAGTCAGGTGTGGGTGTCTTACCTGCCGGAGGAGCCTGCTGGGGTTCATGTAGTAGGGCCCGTAAGGCTCTTTCATCATCGGATCGTGTTGCTGCAGGTCGTACTGATGTATATCATGCTGCTGTATTTCACCCTGTGGGTCCCGATGTTGCAGGTTATTCTGAAGGTCGTCCTGCAAGTCACGTTGGTGCACATCATGTTGTTGCAAATCATCCTGCTGGTCACTGTGTTGCAGGTCACTCTGCAGGTCGTTTTGTTTGAAATCGTCCTGTAAATCATTCTGTTGCAGTTCATGTAGTTGCATATCGTGGTGCTGTAGTTCGTGCCGCTGCAGGTGGTGGAGGTGGTCGGGTTCCTGCGGCTGGGTGTCGGTCAGAGCCTCTTCACTGTACTCCTGGGTCGTGTCCTTCATCTGCTGGTCTGTTCAGAGTAAATTAATCTGTGTTATTACCTCTCACTCCACGATTACCTTTATATATTCTCACGGTGTATTGTATTGAAGGTCTAACTTAATCTGCACACTCACAGCAGACAGACAACAGACACACTCACAACAGACAGACAACAGACACACTCACAACAGACACACTCACAACAGACAGACAACAGACACACTCACAACAGACAGACAACAGACACACTCACAACAGACAGACACCAGACACACTCACAACAGACAGACAACAGACACACTCACAACAGAAAGACACCAGACACACTCACAGCAGACAGACACCAGACACACTCACAACAGACAGACAACAGACACACTCACAACAGACAGACAACAGACACACTCACAACAGACAGACAACAGACACACTCACAGCAGACAGACACCAGACACACTCACAACAGACAGACAACAGACACACTCACAACAGACAGACAACAGACACACTCACAACAGAAAGACACCAGACACACTCACAACACACACAGACAATTAAGAGATTGGTGATAATTAAAAAGAGACCAACGGGAAGTGTGGCCAGATCTTAACAGTCGTCTACATTTCATTCTTTGATGAGTTTCACTGAGAGGAGACCACCAGCCTCTTTATGACCCTAATTACTTCACAGGAGCTGACACACGCCTTTGTCTCTCTGTTGTGGCAATTCTCTCTCTCTCTCTCTCTCTCTCTCTCTCTCTCTCTCTCTCTCTCTCTCTCTCTCTCTCTCTCTCTCTCTGTTATTCGCTTTTCACTTGTCTTGTCCCCACAACAGGTAAAGATTTTTATTTTTTCTCCCTTTCATCCCACAGTCGTTTGGTATTCTCATTGTTGTTCGCTACCGAGACACTTTCCTTCAGAGTTTCCTCGACACATCCGCCGGAACTAATGCACTTAAAGATTTTTGTTGTAAAAGTAAAGGTTTTTATTATTTTCTAATGAGGATGAAACAGGTGTTGAAATTAGATGTTCTATAATTCATCATTTTTTTTTTTTTAATATTGTGGAAGTTACTTTGAATATCGTTTGTATTTGTATATGAACATATCAGACGGTTTTCAAGAAATGTGATTTTTTTATGATACCTTATTTACCATTACCTTGCAACAATAGATTTTGTTAATTTATAGACAATTGTTACGTTTGAAAACTTTTATATCATGTTTTCGTCGTTCAGATAATAACCGGAACACCTAATTCGCGGGTGTATTTTTTTTTTTTGGTCAATGAAATCAGTACAAGGAAATCCAGAAAAACACGTCTGTGATGTTATTGAAGGAATGGTTGGTATGTCGTGGCCTCCTCGCTGTTTGTCCTCTGGTGACTTGACAAAAAACATCACTGAGCAATATTTGATTTACTCAGGAACGAACCACTGAGCGATATAATATGTCCTCTATATTGGAATTATTCTGTGGTTCGTTCCTGCTAAAACCAGACGTAGTTCACTAAGAATTTTTGTCAATTCGTCGATGAGCTGAAACGTGAAGGCCACTACCTTTTTCAATGTAAATTAAAAATTCGTTTTTTCCTCGCCCCCACACAATTTGGAGTCAATTAATTGAAATGATATTCCGTGGAAATCCCGAGGAAAATAAACCATTATTAAGGCTGCAGAGTCATTCTCCGTATTTACCGCTATTTTTCTCGAACCTTCACCAACTTTGTGCTAAAGTTGTCTCGAATTTTCAATTTTTCAAGTCTTTTGAAATTTTTACTCCATCATTTCCCTGATATACTTCCTATCCTACCCTGCCATCGACACTGAACAAATTAAGATAGAAGGATAATGGGGAAGTTGTATTACGATATTAGAATATTGCCCGGCCACGCACGTCTTCCAATAATACTATATTGTATATTTTGAAACTGTCACGTAAACTGTTTATATCTCATATTATAATAAATGGATAAATGTTATAAAGAAGATTGATTTGCGACGGAATTATTAATAAAATGAAAAAAAATCTCAAAATGACTGAAAGTCTATGATTTAAAAGAATACATTATTCCTGACACATTTAACGTCAATATTTGATATTTTTTCATCAACAATAAAACTTTATATCTATCGATCTGTTTTGTGTAGCAGTAGTCTGACACTCACTAGATGAAACACTCACTAAATGAAACACTAGATGAAACAAACACTCACTAGATGAAACACTCACAGGATGAAACACTCACCAAATGAAACACTCACAGGACGAAACACTCACTAGATGAAACACTCACTAAATGAAACACTAGATGAAACAAACACTCACTAGATGAAACACTCACAGGATGAAACACTCACCAAATGAAACACTCACAGGACGAAACACTCACTAGATGAAACACTCACAGGATGAAACACTCACAGGACGAAACACTCACTAGATGAAACACTCACCATGGTTGACAGGGATCAGGTCAGGGTTTTGGTCGTCACTGTCTGGGGGTTCCTCTTGGCCCCTGAGCTGTGAGGGGCTACTGGACGCTTTGTCGTACACCATCTTCACCTCAGGCCGGGACACTCGCCGACGACGTGACTTCACCACTACCACTATTACCACACATGTCACCACCACCGATGTCACCACACCCACCACCACACCCACTATAGGCGTCAGGTTCACCATCCCTACACCTGCGAGGATACAACAAAGCACTAAAGTTAGTCGTCATTCACAACAAAGTTAAAAACAAGAAACAAAACAAAAAAATAATTGTTTGTCCCTTCATAATGTACAGCTCTTACATACACAAGAATGGTATTAATTTAACCTCAGTCCTTATGGGTAATTTCAATATGAAACACTAACACTAAAATATTATTCATTTTATACATTATTTGTTTATATCTTGAGTCTCTAACATGCACTGTCTATATCATCACATTACCTGGGCTGGTACGCTTCTCAGCCACATCCTTCAGGGTAAATATAGCCAGTCTGACGGGTTCACTCTGCCCCTTCTTGTTGACACCCAGGATAGTGAGGACATACTCGGTCCCAGCCTGAAGCCCCGCCAAATTAAACTCTGGTCGAGGGGAGGTGGAGGTGTTGGCCAGGACCCGTGGGGCCTTCTTGGTGTCGTGGCCGCGGGTATGAGCGCGGGCGTGACTGACGGAGAGAGTGAAGGTCTGGGTGAGCCCGCCATCCCACCCCGCTTGACACCTCACGCCCACGCTCGTCGAGCTGATGTTCTCTACAGTGCAGTTGTTGACAGGATCAGGGGGCGCTGTGGAGAAAATACCAGGGATCTCACTCTTGGGGAGGTGAGTCGTGGAGGAGGTGAGTCCTGGGAGGGAGGTGAGTCCTGGGAGGGAGGTGAGTCCTAGTAGGGGGTGAGTCCTGGGGGAAGGTGAGTTCAGGGGGAGGTGAGTCCTGGGGAGGTGAGTCCTGGGAGGGAGGTGAGTCCTAGTTGGGGTGAGTCCTGGGGTGAGGTGAGTCCTGCAGGGAGGTGAGTCCTGGGAGGTGAGTCCTAGTAGTGAGTCCTGGGGTGAGGTGAGTCCTGGGAGGAGGTGAGTCCTGGGAGGGAGGTGAGTCCTGGGGGACGGTGAGTCTTAGTAGGGGGTGAGTCCTGGGGGGCGGTGAGTTCTGGGAGAGGTGAGTCCAGGGGGAAGGTTCAGGAAAGCATAGAATAGTCAGGTTGCAGTGAGTCGCGAATGGTAAATCAAGATACAGTGAGGTATGGTACAGTGAGGCATGGTACAGTGAATCATGGTACAGTGAGTCATGGTATAGTGAGTCATGGTACAATGAATCATGGTACAGTGAGTCATGGTACAGTGAATCATGGTACAGTGAATCGTGGTACAGTGAATCATGGTACAGTGAATCATGGTACAGTGAGTCAAAATACAGTGTGTCGCCGGGAAGGTATAGTGAATATTTCCACAGAAATAAACATTGATAATAGGCTTAACTAAATCCCAGAGATAAAATGGTAAGTGGATTGGCTTAGGAAAACTGAGATCAAAGAGACGTGAAAAGTTTGAGAGGCAGTGTGGGAAGAGGTGAGTGTAGCGGCAGTATAGGTTGAGGAGAGGAGCTAGGAGCAGTGTAGGTTGAGAAGAATCTAGAAGCAGTTTAGGTTGAGAGAAGACTAGGAGCAGTGTTGGGTGGAGGAGAAAGGTTGACGAGCGTGTGATGGCTCAAGGCTCAACAGACGGTGATGGCAAAGGCAAAGAGTCAATTGTCTTCGTTGGAATATAGAAAAATAGATTGAAAAGAAATATGACAGAGAGGAGGGTGTTTGTAGAGATGAAAGACTCAAGTGGCTCACTTGGAATGGATAAAAGGTTAAAGAGTATAAGAGTCTATTCTAACAGAGGCTTGTGGTAGAGGAAAGAGGATCAAGAGTTTGTGTTGACAGAAGCAAAGTTCCAGTGTCTTTTTTTGGCAGAGGCAGTGTTCCAAGAGACAGTGTTACCATAGGCAGTGATCCAAGAGACAGTGTTACCATAGGCAGTGATCCTAGAGACAGTGTTACCATAGGCAGTGATCCTAGAGACAGTGTTACCATAGGCAGTGATCCTAGAGACAGTGTTACCATAGGCAGTGATCCTAGAGACAGTGTTATCAGATGCAGTGTCGTCGGAGTCATTCTTGAGATACTGGCAGGTAGTAACGGTGTGTATGACATACTCACAGGCGTGTATGATGTGATAGATGCAAGGTTGGTTCTGTCTGGAGACGTCATTGGTGGCCCAGCAGAGGAGGGATCCGTAGTCCAGGTGTGTGCGAGGTGTATAGGATACCTGGCTGACACCATCACCCAGCACCCACGTTTTACTACCAGGAATCTCCATCACTTCTGACGAGCTGTTGAACGCCCATCTGACACAGAAATTACTGTTAAACATTCAATTAACACAGTAAAACAGTAAACGCTCACCTCACACACACACACACACACACACACACACACACACACACACACACACACACACACACACACACACACACACACATCACTACTGAACGTCTACCTATCACTGAAGGAGGCGTACCTGAAGGTGGTGGGCTCTGGATGGGCCTCGACACTGCAGGTAACATTGAGTTGCTCGTGCTTCCCTGCACCGTACACCACCTTCTGACTCGGCCGACACGTGGGAGCGACTGTTTTTACCAGATAACGGAAATGCTCAAGATCATGTTTATAAAGTTATATTTGTTTGTTGTTCAAAGTATATCCAATAATTTTCACATCATGTAAAAGTAAATAACTTGTGATGGCATCGTCAGAAATAATAGAAAGTACTCACACTTGACACTAAGATGGACGGCGTTGGAGTCCCCAGAACCCTCCAGGTTGGCCGCGGAACAAGTATACTCCCCAGTGGAATCCCGACTGACTCGCTGCAGCACCAAACTCTGGTTACTTTTTATCACTCCCGCTGACACATTGTGGCTCAGCTCCAGGCCCTGGGAAGCACGGGACATACACACATTAGTCATGCCTTCAAAGTGCACCAGGAGTGTGGCGGTCGAATGGATACAGCGCTCGCCTTCTGTTCCATGACTCGGTGGTTTGATCCCCGGGCACTCCTAGTTCACCCAGCTGTAAATGGGTACCTAATTTATAACTTGGTCAAGTGAACACGGTCGAGTGCAGTATTGGCCATGCTGACCTTGTGTACCAAAAGCTTAGTATACAGCGTACTGTATCCACATTGTCCCGAATGGGGAAATGAACTTATGAATGTCAAACAACAGTCATCTCCACAAAAAGACCTCGCCTGCTTAAGTAAGTTGGGTGCACACAGCTTGTCTTCTTTCAATATTTCTAAAACAAATTACTAACTGTATTATTTAACAATAGTAGTACAATTCAACATAAATGTTGAAAACAGCATCATAGTCTCTCAATCGGTATATGAAGGCATCTGGAAAGGCCACTTAGCCATGCTGCTGAAATTACATTCTGCAGAAGCCCTTCCTACCAATCTCTCCTTACATGACGAACAAACATTCTCAGTTTTTATTTCGTGAAAAACAATATTTGGCTCTCCTTCTTTAAATGTCGGTCCTTACTAAAATCTGTTGACTGTTCTCCACTTACTTATCAACCAAGTCTCTCTGTGACTCACGTTATGAAACCACTGGACTTTGTAGACTCTAGGGTTGGCCTGGATACCACACTCGAAGTAAACGTCGTCGCCCTCCTTGATGTCCTCCATGTCCAAGTTCTGTCCAGCCGCCAAGGACAGTCTCGGTTTGTCTGTCCATGAGCAAAAACATTCATATCGACCGTCATCATTCAAAATAAACGATACCATCTGTTAACATGTGAATTATGTTTTAATACAGAAAATAAGTATATATTATGAAAGTATGCATGCAGTGAATATTGTAGGTTATACGTCTAAAAAAAATATATATATATATATATATATATATATATATATATATATATATATATATATATATACATATATATACATATATATAAACAGAGCAGTATACACACAGCGCACGTCAAGCTTGAGGACGTCTTCAATAACTTGAGCTGTCAATAGGGGGTTCTCAGCCCGACACGAAATATAAGTGTCGTGGTCTGCCAGTGTGGGTGTCAGCTGCAGCGTGGACCGGCTCACATTACCTTCTTGGTACACCTGTTGTTGATGAGCGAATAGTGGAAAACTTAATATTATGCCTATACTATATATCTCTCTATCACCCTGTCCACTTCCTATTTCCCATGTCTCTCTAAATCATCATCATTTCGCCTTTTCTAACACTCCTACTTCCACAATCAGTCACATTTTAATTTATGCACTGTGCATGCAAACAGATTACAATATTACATGTAATACAGTAGGAGAATTTATATTCTTTTTCCAATTTCTATTATTTATTTGGCTTAAGTAATCAGGTCAAGTTAGTGTATATGAAGTCTTTACAATAGGACAACATATACCTGCAAAGTGGCGTCTGTCATCAGCATGCCGTCCTTCCACCAAGTGATGTCAGCCTTGGGTCTACTGCCTGACGACTCACACACCATCTTGTACCGTTGACCCTCAGCTAGACTGTCAAGCGGCACCGCGATCTTAACACTGATTGGTGGAACTGTCAACACAAGCAGCATAGTGTCCAGTTAAAGTAGAATTAATCCATTCAACACAATAATAACCACACTATATATTATTTCACATTAACATTTCATTTTTGTTTTTTGTTTTAAGATACTGTAAGCCTTAAAAAGTTTGTTATAGTAATGCATCTTAGATTTGGACACAATATAGATACTTTCCATCACATTTCCGTAGTACTGTACAGGAATTGGTCTTTTTGATGTTAGGTTTATCCAGTTTCTGCTGACTTATTGAGACACCACCGGGCTGAGAGGGTCACATGCCAGTGTAGAGATATTCAAGTGAACCAATTGATGGTCTGAGAGGGGTTGGAATGTGTGTGTGTGTGTGTGTGTGTGTGTGTGTGTGTGTGTGTGTGTGTGTGTCTGTGTCTTAGTGTTGTGTTTGTTATACTGTTGTTGTGTTGTTATGCTATGTTGTTATTGTATTATGTTGTGTTGTGCAGTTATTCTTGTGTCGTGTTGTGTTGTTGTGCAGTTGTTGTGTTGTTATTGTGTTGTGCTGTGTGTGTGTGTGTGTGTGTGTGTGTGTGTGTGTGTGTGTGTGTGTGTGTGTGTGTGTGTGTGTGTGTGTGTGTGTGTGTGTGTGTGTGTGTGTGTGTGTGTGTGTGTGGTAGACTTTTCAATAATGAGCGAGCTGTCTTTGAAACAGGAATTTTATACCTTTTTCTTTTCTTACAATATATTCGTGAAAGTGAGCCAATATGTGAGTGTGTCGCTTGGTGAGTGTAAGTACAGTACATGGTATGATCATTATGAACCTCTACGGAACTCATAAAAAAAAAAGACTCACATGTCATGTCAATAGTGAGGCTCACCGCCATGGGAACCGAGAGCTTGGAGTTGACAGCCTGACAAGTGATAACACGATACAGGTCAGCTCGGGTGAGGGTAGGCAGAGTCAAGGTGTTCAGGATAACATCCCCTCGTCTTTCTTCACTCGAGTCGTCCAGCAGGGTCGTCTTAGTCCACCACGTTACCAAAGGAGGGGGTCGTCCTGAAGGCACCATAGTAGGCAATATGAACAGACACATTATAATATAGTCGGCATCTTTATCACTTTTAACACATGTCATATTCTTAATTTTGTCACCATTTTCAGACCTGTGACAAAAATAGTACTGTATCAATAGTACCATCATTATTAGATAGTGCTGTGATAGAGAGATAGTGCTTGATATACTGTCACCCTAATCAGCACCGTGACAGAGACAACACCACTATCATCAACTACATCGTCATCATCAGCACCATATTGTAAACACCTTAACTGCACTTTGTACCATTATCTATCAGTTACATTACTCCCCCCCCAAAAAAAGCCTAATATTTCACCACTTCCCATGAATATATCCAATAAATTTCAGATATATCTATGAATTATACTCACGAAGCTTGCTGGGCCCCCAGGTACACGAACTCATAAATTTAACTCAATGTAAAGTTCTGCTCCCTCGTTCAGATCTATTGTACCGCATCTGTCAATCGAACGTGACGATATTTTGTTTTTTTCCTGCCGCAGTTATATAGATGTTTTTATTTAACACCACAGAATATTTATGAATAGCGACCAATGTGTGTAAGCTTCCAACGACAACACCTACACTATCACCACACCAACACTATCACCACACCAACACTATCACCACCACCAACACTATCACCACACCAACACTATTACCACACCAACACTATCACCACACCAACACTATTATCACCGCCAACACTATCACCACCACCAACACTATCACCACACCAACACTATCACCACCACCAACACTATCACCACTCCAACACTATTACCACACCAACACTATCACCACACCAACACTATTATCACCGCCAACACTATCACCACCACCAACACTATCACCACACCATTACCACACCAACACTATCACCACACCAACACATTATCACCGCCAACACTATCACCACCACCAACACTATCACCACACCAACACCATCACCACCACCACTCACCACTTTACCACACCAACACTATCACCACACCAACACCACATCACCGCCAACACCATCACCACCACCAACACTATCACCACACCAACACCATCACCACCACCAACACTATCACCACACACCAACACCATTATCACCGCCAACACTCCATCACCACCACCAACACTATCACCACAATCAACACCATCACCAACACCAACACCATCACCACTCCAACACCATTATCACCGCCAACACTATCACCACCACCAACACTATCACCACCACACCAACACCATCGCCTCACACCAACACTATCACCACACCAACACTATTACCACCACCAACACTATCAACAATACCACACCAACACCATCACCACCACCAACACCATCACCACACCAACACCATCACCACCACCAACACCATCACTCACCACCAACACCATCACCACCCACCAACACCATCACCTCAAACCAACACTCCATCACCACACCAACACCATCACTCACACCAACACCATCACCACCCAACACCATTACCACCCCAACACTAGTCACCCAACACTATCACCACACCAACACTATCACCACACCAACACTATCACCACCACCAACACTATCACCACACCAACACTATCACCACACCAACACTATCACCACACCAACACTATCACCACACCAACACTATCACCACACCAACACTATTACCACCACCAACACTATCACCACATCAACACTATCACCACACCAACACTATCACCACACCAACACTATTACCACCACCAACACTATCACCACACCAACACTATCAAACAATCTCTAAGTGAGCAACTTATAAATAATGTAATGATACAAAAGTCAGTTTAAAAGGTCAAGATTCAGTGATTCAAGATTTAAGCCAAGGGGCCATCAAGAGGTCACCAAGCCACCTTCGGTCACAGTGGACTTCTCTAGACATAACAGTGGTGAGCCAGTTGACCAAACGCCTCGCACCAGCTGTATACATCTCGACAGTCACCACCCTGTGTGTACATTAGCGGTTCACACGAGTCATCCCCCTGACGAGAGACGCCATTTTGGAATTCGCCTTTCCTACAAACAATTAATGGGTCTACAGTCTCTCGACAGTATCTCTCGGACATCACAAGTTGTCGGAGGTGACTGCAGCTGAGACAACGAATTTTACCACGTTAAAGGAGCAGCCCTTCGGGAGGAGCAGCAGCGACCCAGTAACGAGACATAACCGATCAGCTTTACGGGATTTACACCAAAGTTCGTCTCTTGAGAGTAGTTTAGTCACGAAGAAACATTATTTTTTAAGACGACATAAATACAATGAAAATTAAAAAAAAAGCCTTGACGCCGATGGTCATGATAAAGTTAACAAATGCAGACCATGAGAGAGAACAATTAGTAGGAACTCCTCCCGCTAAGGGGCCCCACCTACTTCACTTAGACAAATTGCAAGCACAACTGCTTAGCTATGCACACATCCTGGTAACATGGTCAGGAACATGTAGGTTAATAACTGTGAGGGCTGGGTAAGGTGGTGCCGGAGCAGTGTTATAGCATCATTATGTATGTACAACAAACACCTTTATATACTACTTAACACCCCCCTCTCTCACAGATAGACTGGTTACGGTGGAGAACACGTAATCATCTCTCTCGCGGCAGCAAAATTACAGCTCCTGTAAATACTGTACGCATATATCTGTTAACATATATATTACCACAGATAAAGAGCAAACACTCAGCTGTAGTTCAACCAACTCCTTGACACATAAAGTGTCTTCAAATATTTGAGTGACTAATTATACAAGTCGCCATAAATACTAGGTGTTACAACTGACTTATCTTGTGGCATTTTTATATTCAATTAACCTAGTATATAAGTCGCCCCCTGTCTGAACAAACATACTTTGTTCACAAACACAACACAGTATGATGTAAACACCAGGTTGTCCTCTCCTTAATATGTGGTGAACGTTAACAAGGTTTTTAAAAACATAAGACATAATTTGAGAACTTAAAACCTAATAATGACCGCAGTTAGCCGCCTGGTCACGTCACTTGACGCCCCCTAAGAAACCTTCCTCTGTAATTGTCTTGACCACAGTGCAGAAGAGGACCGTAGGTTACAGGTGAAATATACTGTGTTCTTGTCGATCTACTTTCACTGAGACAAAGAACTACCAAATAAATGCCCTTTAAATGTCTCCCACGGAAGTAATGAAGTAAAAATACTTGGTTCTATAAGTTTCACAGATACAATCGTTCCGGTGAAGCCATATAACTTTCCAGTAATTTCCTGGCTGGACGAGACACCATCGTGATAGCAGTAAATATTGGCTCGCCAAATGAAGCGAACGCCTTCTCGACAGGCTGATGACAAACTCCGCCACACAAAAGGAAAAACCAATAAAAGACAAAATAAAACTATCTGCGGCGGTTCAGTGTAGCTGACGCTAGCAAACACATCCTGGTGTTGGCACCACTGTCAATCCCATCCAGGGTGACCTGGTGTTGGCACTACTGGCATTACCAGCCAGGGTGACCTGGTGTTGGTACTACTGACATTACCAGCCAGGGTGACCTGGTGTTGGCACTACTGACATTACCAGCCAGGGTGACCTGGTGTTGGCACTACTGACATTACCAGTCGGGTGATCTGTTGTTGGCACTACTGGTATTACAAGCCAATGTGTCCTGGTGTTGGCACTACTGGCACTGCCAGTCAGGGTCACATGGTGCTGGTACTAATGACACTACCAGCAAGGGAGACTGGGCGCTGGTACTGCCAAACGGGGTGAATCCATTTTGGCACTACAGAAGTAATGTTGTAACTATTCTCTACCAGACGGTATGATCTATTGTTAGTGCTCCTGGTACTGCCAGTAAAGGTGATTTTTGCTGGCACTGTGGGTACTGCCAACCATGGTGATTTAGTGCTGGCAATACCAGCCGAGCACAGCCAGGGTGACCTTTTGTTGTTACTCCGGCCACCGCTGACCTGGTTATTACACTGTTGGACAAGATGACCCCTTGATGATAATTGTAGCACTACCATCTACGATGACCCTTTTCGGGTCTCTCTCTCTCTCTCTCTCTCTCTCTCTCTCTCTCTCTCTCTCTCTCTCTCTCTCTCTCTCTCTCTCTACTCACCGTTCTCAGCCCTGCAGTGTAGGGTGAGGGAGGAGTCGACGGGGTAGGGCCCGATGACGCCGCTCACTTCCAGTCCCGCCTCACTCACCACCGTCAACCTCCGCGGCGGCACTGTCCCCCACAGTGAAACACTACATCATTACTCTCATCCAGTACCTTGTAGCCAAAGGACACTTTGTATTTATATTTTACCAATAAGAAAATCCAGAGTGAAACATCACTACAAGACAGGTGCCTATTATTAGACAAATGTCGCTGTATGGCTGTATTGGGGCTGATGTCCCTACATGCTATATTTAACACTGGTAACATATCATGTCTAGCCTCACATAACACAAATCTACACTCGACACCATTTTAATTTATAATTATTCATATTCAGTGTTACTCTGCACCTTTCTCGTTCCATAACATAATTCATTCTTACGGTAATTATGAACAATTTATTTTTCGCCGGTGTGTAAAGAAGAAAATATGAATCATCTGGACATCTGGACTTACCAACAACGCGCAGCTGGACGCGGACATTCCTAGTGGGGTGGGAGCGGTAGTCAACCCGACACCTGTACTGGTCGTGGTCTGAGGCCAGTACTGGTTGAACCACCAGACCGGGAGGACGGGTGGTAAGGTCTAAGTGGGCTCGGTTACCCAGTGCTGCCTCGGACGACCAGTGTTGACCTCCACTAACAGGACCATCACGTCCGTCGATACTAATGAAAAAAAGAAAGTGTTGTGTGGTTAGGGGAGATTCTCAAGCTGACCCGGCAGTAGTACATACCAAGTGGAGGATAACACCTAACCTAACCTAACAAACACCAACTAATGTTCTTTGGTCTACGTCATTATTCTGGTATTAGGATTTTGTCTGAGGGAGCGATTTTGCAATTAATAAACAAAGACAGCGAGTAGTTGTCTTAGTGTGGCCCGAGTATGTTACTGGAGGAGATCATTACAGGAGGCCATTAGAGACCACAGGAGGCCATTAGAGACCATTAGAAGAGACCACTAAAGACCACAGGAGATCATTAGAAGAGCCCACTAAAGACCATTGGAGCAGACCACTGAAGACAATTAGAAAATACCATTAGAGACAACTTGAAGAGACCATTAGAGACCATTAAAAGAGACCATTTGAGACTAATAAAGACCACTTGAAGAGATCACTGAAGACCACTAGAAGAGACCATAAGAGACCACTAGAAGAGACCATAAGAGACCACTAGAAGAGACCATAAGAGACCACTAGAAGAGACCACTAAAGACCAGATACCACTAGAAGAGAGAACACACTGTACAAGAGTAGGCTGATGTAGACATGACTAGATTCAAGAAAAGTGTAAACATGAAGATAGAAAGATGATAAACGAGAAGTTGATAAAATGGGGGGAAAAAATTCACACGATATTTGCCCCAAAACAACAAGACGGGGGAAGGAGGGGAGAGAGGGAGGGTGTAGTTCAGCAGAAAACATAGACGATACATTGATTTAAAAGATCCAAAAAAAAATTGAGAATAAATCTGTGTTACAGGATATATATATTGCCTTGTCACGATAAATCATTGCGTATAACACCTTTATGTTCACAGCTCCTCCCACCATGTATTATTTCTCAAATTTGGTCTACAAGTTTTTTTTAAGACTTTATTCTTGTCTAATTTCCATAAACACAATGAGAATTTAAACACCAAATTACAATAAAATAACAAAAACAACAGAGTTAAATTAACGAAGTAAATATACTTAGCAGTTACGAACACATTTGCGTGAATAAACTAATTATATTATTCTTACAGGAACATATTTATTGGGTAACGTTTATACAATATATATTGTCGTCATCAGACCTAAAACATAGAATAGACTACAATAGCATCATTATCAAAAGCTCTATATGACAAATCAAATTAATTACATCATTGAGTACATTAAGTGACTTACTAAAAATTATCATGCGCTTAACAATATATATAAAAAATCGTAGAAGCATCGACCTCATACCAAAGATGAATACAGAAAGATAAGCAAGTAACTTACACACCAACAAGAACAGCACATACTAGCTGGTGGTAAAGTAAGGAAGCAGAAGAGTCGTGGGTGTCCAGGGCTGGCTGTACTGAGTGAGTGATCCGTGTTATGTCGTCTGAGCAAGTGGTGAGGATGGTAAAACACTGTCTTATTTATAGGGTGATCGTACGCCTGGCTATGGTCTCTGGTTGCTGAATACGACGGGTTTAATATTAGTTGTTGTTGTTTTTTTTCTGAACGAGCATTCCCCGTGTCCGGTAAATCTGACCCTCAGTTATCGTTCAGTTTGACTGACATACGTCACATTACAGCGACTACCCTTGAATAAATAGACAATTGAAATTGCAGTTCATCGGGGACTCGATTAAATGTCAGCAAAGCTATAAATATGACCTATTTCTCAGAGCACGAGATGATTTATTAGTGAGAGGAATATAACCAAGAGAAAGACGGCGGAGACATCAGCGTGCGGTGGACAAACGGCCCTTTACCCTGGCTGTTTACGGGATACTTGGACCGAATCCATGCCCAGGTAGGAAGGACATAACAAAATACAAGCATAATCCACTGTGGGTGAAAAGCTTTATTGGCAGATGTCTGGTCCGGAATATAACCAGGAGTGTGGTGGGGTGTGTGTGTGTGTGGGGTCGCATGTGAACAATGGCTTAACCCACTTGCAATATCTGACAGGTACATGAACGGTCACTTCTTCTCTAACTCCCCCCCCCCTCCTCCTCCTCCTCCATCTCTGCTTGGATGTTCAAGCTTAATCAACCTGTTGACTCCACCATTGACTGAGACCCCGAAGATTCAGATCTATGTGTTCAGCAGAGCAGCCATGTGTTCAGCAAAGGGCCCACATGTTCTAAATTTGTTCTCCCCAGTTATCTTTAACTTCTTATCTTTACAGCTAAGGAACATAACTCTCGCACGAACATAAGGAAGTTCTCTGTTCGTGAGCCAGAGCCACACATGTCCGTTCAGGAGGAATGGACAGCTCTAAACCCGGAGCTATGGTTGGCTAATTCATGTTGGAAGAATGTGGTGGGCTAATATTAAACTCATTATTTTAAGACTACCAGTATTTTGGGATATTTTTATTTAACTAATTTATGCAGGATTTTGTAACATGTGTTTTGTTTCTCATGTGTATAATTCCAGCTTCTTCTTAATTTTATGTGGAAATCTATTCACGACATTAAAGCTCCCGCATTCTTTTATTTTTGTATCTCTGCAGGCCATGTATACAACTTTGGAAATATTTTACGCATCAACACGCATTATTTGGGTATTAATATAGATATATGTACTTATTAATGGTGCTGAAAGTGAGGCAAACTGAAATCTATATAAAAGTCAGTAACGACGGACTAAATCATCGTTAAGAAAAAACAAACAGAAAACAGGCGACTACTAATGGCCCATCACAGGTGAAGTATGTGACCAAAAACAATACTTTTACTATGATGGAAATATCCTCAGTAGTTGAACCACGTAAAAGAAAACACATCACCAACACCAACAACAACATCTTTGTTAAAACAGACAGGTTGTTGTGCTCCCCCGTGGCCGGGTTCCTTCTGTATGAATAAAAAGATTCAGTGAGAAGTATAGCAAGTGTCGCTCACACAGGCCTCTGTCTGTGAGCGCTGTTTCTGTGGAGGAACAGTCTCACACTCGGATGCATTTCCATAGTTTTGAAGATAAAGAACTTAAAGTTAAGAGGAGAGTGCGGGTGGCTAAGAGGATGGTTGCACACTATCATCCGTCCTTCCACCAGGGTGAAGCCGGGTAACTCACCAAGCACACACAGTATTTCAGTAAATTCATGTAATTCTGTTTAACTCAGGGACTTTACTACATTACTGAAATATCGTTATAATTTTTACACGATTTAACTGAATGGCTTTAAGCAATCTGTTGAGTCTACCATATCATTTATGCCGTGCTTCCTAATACACGTATACCTGAAACACCAAGTTGTTGAAGTAAGTGTGACTTGTCTCCTCCCAGTGAGTTTACCTACAGTCTGTATAACACATTAGTACAACACTGAAGTGAATAAGGATAATGTTATATAGTTTGTTTATTACGTTGTTTTGTGGTGATCTGTGTTGGTAGTCCTGCCTGGTGGACGTATTCGAAAGCTTTGGTTAAAAAAAAATTGTTTTCTTGTGTCACTTCTTAACGATTTGTGACTATCTATTATAATTGTGTTTTATCTCAATCTGTGTTTTGTTTATATTTTATACAGTTAATGAACTGATTCAAACAAAATAAAAACAAAATCCTCAAAGTTTCTCCACAGTTGATGACGACAGAGTTTGGAAGTGTTTTTTCAGAGGTTCTTGACCAGCGGTGTTCGTTACAGTGAACTCATTCATATGGGATAATTGTTTTATAATTGGAAAGGTAAAGGTTTCTTATGTGCATATAATAATTTATATTGAAAATAAAGTATTTCGTAAATTCAAAGAGAAAGATACAATCGAAGTCTTCTCACAGTAATGAGACAGTTTCATTCAGTCCCATGAAGCTCCGACACCCGTTTTGAGATGTTTTATGAATAGGTGTCATGACTCAAGACCGTCACGGTCAGTTTAGTTGCCGCGGTTGTCGCGTTAACAGTGACGTGTTAGTGTCATCGTTGTTGGTGGAATACAACATCAAGAGGTAAGTGGAGGTCAATACGAGTTGTATTTATTGAGGTTAATGTGTTAAATATGAGAATGCACAGATAATACAGTCCAGTTGGCTACACGGTGAGGAAGTAGTTGATGTGGGCCGGAGGTGATTCAGCCCATAAGAAAACCAACTGGTAAAACTATACAGTATAACATTACCTTATTTCCCTTCACTATAAACTCTTGCAAATCACTCTGCGAGAAAACAAATAACACTTCGCAAGGACGTACTTTCCAGAATACATAAATATATTACTAAAGTTAAATGGAAAATGAGCAACTTTGCTGCCAGTGTGTTTACATTATGACGTCTCGGTCCACTCTAAGGAATATCCAATAAGGAAGTATAACTCTTCCTTAAAGCCACTATTTTTAAGGAATTGCGACAGGGAGACCGTGGTTCAACTTGATGGCAGAGCAACCAACTATAAAATATGGGCAATTTGAGCTACATTTTTAATCTAAAAATAAAAAGAGGTATTCATGAAGGGCACAGGAGAAGTACTGTATTAAATGGGGTAATATTTTCGTTTCGGTCATCCCCCAATTTGGAAGCTGAAATTATGTATTTCTGAAAAACATAATTTCAAACTCACCTAATCTGCGTAATGCAGCACAGTAACAAACAAACTAACATACAGGAGCTATCTCGGACGGTGGTAACATAAAATCCTAAAATTCTCCGGATGACCAAAACGATAATAATACCTAAAATAGTTTACCTAGACTAATTTAACTGTATTGACCAGTTGTGCTCAACCTTTTTGCGTAAGTGGGCCATATTAGATGAGCAAACGTGTGATGAGGACCACACCTTGACGTTAATGTGAAAGTACATCTGCAGTTTCAGTCCCAACTACTGTTCGATCATAAATATGGGAAAAATTATCGTTTCGGTCATCGCAGCGAATTTTAGGATTTTATGTTTTGGAATCAGTGATTTAGACAATTATAAGACAGTATTCTTCTATAGCGTTTCCGTCGATAAAATTACCAATAA